AGTGCTGCCTGTATCCAATCGTACCCCAATACAAACAAAGTAAGTGGTGGTGCAGACTGCAGTGTACAAGAGCTTGCCAACTTAATGTTTAGTTTTCTTTGAATAACATGAATTGTGGTGTTTGAGGCTGGAATAAAGAGACTAATGTGACTTTTTTCTCTCTCCCCTTCTTCCTTTAGAGCCCAACTTTGAGGAGACTCCAAAGTGATCTCTGCAGGCTGTACACTAAACAGCAGTGTACATCAATAGTTGCTGAACATGGCACCAGTTGTAACTTAATAAATGCAGTGGTTCAGTTGGATTTCAGAAGTGTGAATAAATTCTTAACTGTATGGTGAGCATAGTTAGTTATGATCATTAACTCTTTAAGTGACTGAGGCATCAGAGTAGTGTTTCTCAATCTTGACTGCAAGACTCCTTTGCCAAGCTACATTTTAGTGTTGAGAGTTGTAACACCGGTAATGATATGCCAAAAAGGAACTACTTGTTTGTCTGAGTTTGTCACATCCGAAAAGCTTCTGCAGAAAAAAACCCCATGAACCCTAAATCTGTAGCAAAGCCCTATGGTAGCAACAGACCCGCACAGCCAAAAGCATAGGCACAAATACACTAATTTTATACTGCATCAATGAACACAGCATTGACAAAGTGTTAATCTTACAGAAGCAACTGAAACCTGTTAATGAGGTGAAATTTAGATTTCAGTAACTGAACTATTGACACAAATGCTTCAGGTTCTGAGGAACTTTATTTGTGACACTTCAACAGTTAAGGTCCAGATACTACAGCTAGAGTTGTAGTGGCATGATTTTTCTTCAGAATGAAATTACATGTGCAGTTGAAAGAGACGGACAGACTTCCTTGTGGAAGAGAAGCTGTAGGCATCTTATATTAGACAATAAAACACTGCTTGAAGCTTCCAGGAAGCTTTATTCTGTCAGGATAGCAAGTTTAAGTCTGCGTGACTACTTACGCACTTACAGATGGCTTTGGCAAATCTAATTAGTACAATATCAAGGTACTAATAAGTTGGAATTGCAGGAGCATTTGAGCCCTTGACAATGGTGGAGACACAAGCAGTAGAAGTAGTGGTAGCAAGGACATCTATGAAAGTTACTTGAATAGATTGTTCCAAACTGTAAGAGTGAATACCGTATAGCTGCATATATACCTGAACAAAATGAGAAGTCTTCACCCAAACTGACTTGTATATTCACTTTAGTTCTAGCTTTGAGGTTTTTTGGGTTTTGTTTTTTTAAAAAGCAATCACAGGTAGATTGACTAGATCTAAACATTAGCAGTTTCTATTTTCAGTGTGTAGTACATGAAACAATATTTACAGAGTAGAGGTCAAAAGATCCCTTTGATACTTTTGTATAACAAGTAGTCATTTGATGTCCCTCACAGAGGCTGAAATCTTCTAAATAACAAAGGACTTGGTATGCTTGAAATCCTAAATGAAGCAAACAATGTTACATAAGTAATAGTTCAAACATTTTAACCAGATTAACGTTTAGTGTACATTTCAGAAGAAAGCAAGACATTGAGATTGAAAAGAAGCATGCCTGAAGCACTGTTAGTTAACATTTTTCTGGAACGGGAGGTCTACAGAATGCACTGCTACACAGAATAGAAGTAATAACCTATTAAAAAATACAAGTATCAAACAGCTCTGAGCATCTGATTCGTAAGTGCATTAATATTGATAAACAGATACCACAGCTCTTCAAAGTTTGCTCCTTCCCCCTCAGAACAACCAGGTATCTGTCCTCAGTAAGTTTCTTACATACATACTAGGTGAAGAAATAAGCTTATGCTGTTCAGTATGCTCTGTTGTTTTGATTAAAGAAATGGGTGGCATTCAGCAAGCTTTTAAGGCTACTAATGTAGCCCTAAACTACAGATAATGAAATTAAGTTGCTCCTAGTTGAAGCTTTAGTCGGAGCTCCATTCTCTTTGCACCAATCTGAAAAGCTGGAGCAAGGTATACACAGTTAAAGCCCTTGACCCTCTCAGAGGAAGGGGGGGAAAAAAGTACGTTTAGCTTCCATATTTAGTCAAGGCTTTTGACCCACATTAATCTTAGAGGAATGAAGGCCCAAACTGTCTCGCAGCTGCCTTGGACTATGTCTGAGTTAGTGTTCTTGGTTAACCAATATGCACAAGCAAGACTGAGTGGAAGACTTCACAAACAAGAAATGGCATCATTAAGTGGAGCATGAAGATGAGATTGCCAACTAGTGTAAGGGTGTTACCTTTCTCATTTACCTGATGGAGGGCAAGTAATCATGAAAAGCAGAGAGAGAAATAATGAAATAAGCTAACAGAACAGAGAGGTGTAGGATTAAGTAATTCAAAGTTTTATTTTTGTTTAATAAATTAAAATTAAAAAGTTAATAAATAAAATAAATTAAAATGTCTTTTAATTAAGTAATTAAAAGACAACCAGGTAAAAGTCTGGTTACTGTGGTAAAGAAAAAGATGGCAAAGTATGGAGCAAGGTGCTGTAGTTGTATGGTACTTGAGACGAACTAATAGGGAGCTATAAATGCAAACAGAAGGTATCTCCAGGTACTGGTGGCATGTAAGGTTTGGGGTGTGTGTACAAAAACATTACAGATGTAAGGAATTTTGAAGATGTCTAAAACTTTAAACGCACTACAGAATGGAAAATACTTGCCTTTTCACTTGTAGATTGATAGTTGGTCGTCTTCCTGTTAATGGGAAAGGAACATAGTTAAATAGTGACTTTTCTGGTGTTAGTTTTAACCCTTTGAGAACCTTATTTCTGAATGTATTTTTCCTGATTTCCAGCAATTCCTAGAGTTTCTCCCCTCCCCTTAGAAAAAAAAGAACAAATCTGGTGCATGCTTTTGTACAATTATGATTACCTCATGAACCACTACCAAATTACCTTCCCTAGCTTGTCTTTTCAATGCTTCTAGCTACACTTTTTGTCTAGTTCATGGACAGTACAAACACCACAGTATTTTAAAGCAATATTTGTATTTCTCTTTAGTACTTTTTTTTCTACCTGCTATTACCTAGAAATGCTGAGAGAAACTTTTAAGAAAATAAAAAATTATTGAGGACAGCCTCCAACAAAGCACACAATTTTAGCCTTGTGTGGGAGCACTAAAATAGCTTGAGGAATTCTGACTTGCTACTAAGAAATCTAAGTGCATGAAATAAATCCATATTAAAGGAGTAGACCAGACACCCTCAGAAAGTCTCCACCCATCATATTTTTACAAAATATTTGCTGAAATAATCAGTAGACACGGACATGAGGGCAGTTCAATTTCGTTCTGAGCATCTTTTGTCCAGATTGAAAAGGAGACAAATGCATGCCTGTAGCCAAGTTAGGGCTGTATAACTATGTAAAAAGACACATCTCTGCACACTCATCGCAGTCATAATGCTTAATTCATTTTCTGACCAGCACACTGGTTCTAATAAGAGAACCAGGTGGTATGTAGGATGAGGTTTATTTCAGTGTTCAAAAAAAAGCCACTGTACAAGAATCATGTAAGAAAGGTCTTAAACAAGAATCACAGTTACTAAATAATCAGAAATGTAAATGAAGTTTGCAGTGATTTGTGTACTAATAGCATCAAGATACTTACTGGGAAGAGCTTTCCTCTGAAAAAGAAAAAAAAAATTAGCACAAGAACAGTTTAGCTGATTTAAAGTTTTTTGAAATAGTTATTCATAGCTTACTCAGCTCTTCAGTTTCTAGAAGGAGTTTCTGAACCAAATTCTCTTTTTGGTGTGGTGAGTTTAAAACAGAAAAAGAGCAAGGTGCTTTCAAAATTAAATGAACTTGCAAGTGCCCACGAATTCTAACAGCAGCTCTGTTAGCCTTTTAGGCAGCGGACCTTCTCAGACCCCAACATTTGGCATCCCTTCTTGCTGTGCTGAACCCTACAGGCACTAATGCAAATGCTGCGGAGAGGGTTGCTTGATGTCGAGAGTTTTTGCAGCAATCCTTAAAAAGCAAGGTTTCTCCACGAGCACTTTCGCCACGACCCATTAGAGGGAGCCAGTAATTTAGTTTCCCCTTCATCAGAACTCAGCCGCTCAGACCTCTTAGACAGCAAGGGAACTTGCACGGCTTGCTTTCCTGTTGCCTCTCCTCCATCCCTGCTCAAAACTAGAGCAGAGAAGCTTTAGGAACCGGGGTTCCCTTGTTGCTTTCCCTAGGCTGCCGTTTGGTACCCTTATGCAACTGCACAAACGTCTCCGTGTTATTCTTAAAGTATCTTTTTTCAGTAGAAGTTGGCAGAATAAAAATGTCTGCACAATGAAGTTGCTGTTGTAATGCAACTTTAGTTGCATACAATAGCTTTAGTACCATGGAGTTAGAGCCTTCGTGAAAAGGAGGACATGTTACAGTCAGCAGAAGCACAGGCTCTTTTTTTTGGCACAAGGAAGAACTGATTTTACTTTACTTACTTGTAAAGTAGCCCTTTTTTTGGGCATAAAATACTCCAAGGCCACACAACGCCATTACCAGAGCCACAAATACTACTGCAGCAATGATACCACTTACATTAAGGTCATCTGTAATTATAAAACATAAATCCAGTGTTACAAGTTGTAAAAATTTCCATTGGCTGGATTTTTTCCCCCCTAATCAATACAGGCACCTTTTGTATCTACAGGTGGTCTTTGGCCCAAGCTATGTAAGTTGATTAGTAACACACAGATGTAGATAAACAGTCCAAAAGCATTACTGTATCACAGCCACATTAACAGGAGCGCTTGATAACACTTCGACTCCTTAGTTCGGGTCAAAAGTAAGGAAAGAGTAAGAGGGGTAAAGGGATACATCCTCCTTGTTATACCTATCCCCTAATAAGTAGTATTCAAGCCATATGGCGCTAAGGAAAAATATCTTGAAATCTTCAGAAGTCATAAAACAAGTGTTTTCATATAGTTAGTTTGCCTAAAATAGATGAAACAGCTGATGGCAGTGTCAAGTCCCAGTCCTGAAGAACTCTTCAGGCAAGTTAATTTAAATTCAATGCTTTTTTATTTTTAAATAGCAAGGCTTTTAAAATTCAAACACAATAAAGGCCAACAAATATTTAGCCTAAAGTTAAACTCTACACTGGGCTACCAAAACATCTAGCCATTTTTATTTTGCAGTTGATGACACATGCCCATTTCCTGATGTAATCACTAAGAGCTTCAGGCAGTCATCCATTTTAGGAAAAACAAAAACATCAAGCAGCAGAAACATTTTCATAAGTTTTTGTTATATGTCCAATTACTTATTTGGATCCTGACTTTAAGCATACATTAATTTTACCCCCAAACCTATCAATTTTTGTGCATTAGTTGACAGCAGTTTAGGACTTTGGTAAGTATTTCCACAACAGAGGGATTCTGTCATGGTAGTTTGTGGAACACTTGCTCATAATCAACCAGGAATGCATTAAAACTGTGATAGAGTGATTTTCAGCCAAGTTCTAAGAAAGTACCAGACAATTGCTTTATGGAATACTTGGACACAAACTTCTGTGCAGTATATGTTAGGATCTTTTAGAAATATTCAATGTTTCTTTTACCATCTGCTTTCCTATCATGTATGCAAGACCTAGTTTTACTTTTTCTAAAAACATTCATACATTTTGGGTTATTATAGATTCTGCTCCTCCAACCTTTGCTAAATTTTTTAGTAGCTAACCAACATTACACTTCACTTAAGCTGCGCAAGTAGAAAAGAAACAGGCAGTATGATTTTTTTGTATTTGTTTTTAAGATACACTGACTTCTTCAGTGATAAATGAGTCAAATTTCTGATCTGTTACATTACGATCTCACATGGATGCATCTCAAAAGGGAGACTTTTCGTAAAGAAAATAATCCAGTGCATTGGTACGCTATGCTGTACAGCTTCCACAAAAGCATTCTGAAATATTAAGGATCTCCTGTGGATACTGCCGTTGTGTGAAGTTTAGTGTTTAGCAACCTAAAGGCTGGCTACTGCAGTAATTTTAAAGTACTACACTAGCTGCTTTTCTGTGAAATGCGGTGAGACATGTTTGTGCTGTAAGAAAGGAATGCTTTAAGTAGCCACAGCAACTACATATAAGGAAATAATAATAATAATAA